ACAATAATCAATATTATCATGGTGGGGGCAGGAGACGGTGGCAGCGGCAGGACCGGCCTGGGGGCCCCCGGGACTTAGGTTGCCTACTCCTGGTATACAGTTTTTATTATATTTTTAGTATAATTTTGTATATTTTTTGTATATTGCATACAGTTTTTATTATATTATTTATATTATATTATTTATATTTATTATATCTCCCTTATCCAAAATGCTTGCAACTAGAAGTGTTTTGGGTTGTGGGGGGAGTTGGATTTGGGAATATTTGTATATACATAATGAGATATCTTGGCTATGGGACCTAGTCTAAATATGAACTTCATTTATGTTTCATATACACCTAATACACATATACACAGGGATGCTTTGATAGGGAGTTCCTGCATGGCAGGGGGTTGGACTGGATGGCCCTTGTGGTCTCTTCCAACTCTATGATTCTATGATATATTGTTAACTGCTGTCGAGTTGATCTCGACCCATGGCAACCCTATGGATGAGACATCTCCAAGACCCTCTAGAGGTCCCACTGCTCTGTTTAAATCCTGCAAACTCTTAATACCTGTGACCTCCTCAATAAAGTCCATCCATCTGGCATGTGGCCTTCCTCTCTTCCTACTTCCCTCCACCTTTCCCAGCATTATTGTTTTTTCGAAAGAATTCTCCTTTCTCATGCTGTTTCCAAAGTATGACAGCCTCAGTTTAGTCATCTTGGCTTCCAGGAGGTTTCCAGCTTGATCTGCTCTAGGACCCACTTGTTTGTCCTTTTGGCTGTCCATGGGATCCTCAGCACTCTTCTCCAGCACCACATTATCTCAGATGCATTGATTTTCTTCCTATCATCTTTCTTAACTGTCCATTTCTCACGTCCATACATGGTAACAGGGAATACAATGGCTTGTACAATTCTAACTTTTGTGCTGAGTTTTATATCTTTGCATTTTAGAAGCTTTTCTAGTTCTTTCATAGCCATCCTCCCCATTCTTAGTCTTCTTCTGATTTCCTGACTGCAGTCCCCATTTCTATCAATGTTTGATCCCAGGTATGGGAATTCTTTTACTATTTCTATTTCTTCATTGTCTAGGTTGAACTTGTGAAGGTCCTTGGTGGTCATTATTTTTGTTTTCTTTATGTTCAGCATTAAGCCTGTCTTTGCACTTTCTACTTTGATCTTCCTTAGTAGGTGTTCCAGGTCTGTGAGGTTTTCTGCTAGTACTATGGTGTCATCTGCATATCTTAGATTGTTGATATTCCTTCCTCCTATTTTCACTCCTCCTTCTGTGTTCAAGCCTGCTTTTCTTATAATATGTGATAATATAATATGTTCTGCATACAAGTTGAACAGATAGGGTGAGAGGTTTATCAGATGTGTTGGCACTCCCATGTCTTAGCCTTGAAAGTAATGTTATACCCAATATTTTCAATGATTTTGGGCATGAAGCAAAGCCTGTGTACACTGAACCAGTATCAAAGAGGCCTTTCTTGAGTCAATGTTTGCTGATGGTTCTGGTTGGTCCTTTCTTTTCTGAATCACTTCATATCTTGACCTCCACCTTCAGTGCAAGAAAATACAAAGTTCCCAAACAGATCTCAGTACTTTGAGGTTATGTGAGGGGGGGTAAGACATCCCCTCAATTTACGCTTTGCCATTAAGTAGAGAGGCATCTCTTAGACTGAATCTGCACTGCAGAAAAAATGCATCTTGACACTGCTTTAACTGCTATGGCTCCATGCTATGGAATCCTGGGAGTTTGTTGTAGTTTGTTGTGACACCAGAGCTCTCTCTGACAGAGAAGGCTAAATATTTCACAAAACTATAAATCCCAGAATTCCATAGCCTGTCCACAGAGTTCCCACAGGTGTGGAAGTGGCAGCCACAGCTCCAGGGACAAGCCATCCCGTTTTCCTACACTGTTCAGACCAATTCGGGTCTGATCCAGCTGTTTGCATGACACACAACCCCATGCTAACCTTGGGATTCAGGGAAATTCCAGGGCTTCCTGCAACTTTGCCAACTCCAGGGAAAAGTCAAGTTAATGAGGAACACCCACAATATTTCACCAGAGGTTGCCATGCGTTGTGTGATCAGGGAGCACCAGCATCAGGGTGGGACCAAGATCCTTCACCCATGCAAACAAGACCTAAGAGTACCAGGGATTGGGAATTAATGCTGACTGTGGGATTCTGGGAGTTGTAGTAAAAAGAAACGACTGCTCATAATACTCAAAAAGGTTGTGGGAGGAATACCAGCAATATTCCGGTGAAGACAATTATTTTAACTCCCTCCCCATTTGTTGGGGTGTAGAAAGACGCGCTGTGTCCACCACGACCACCTGCAGAGTTGTTCCACATCAACAGGACA